TCCGAGTTCTATCTTCCAGATGAAAGTTATTGCGGATTGGAGCTTTTATCAAAGCATCGCTGCCCTGGTCATGGCCTTATTCCTGCCTGGCGTGTTGCGCGGGGAGGAGCTAACACTGGCCGCCATTTTTAGGGTGTCCTCTAGATGTAAGATCTTGTGAATTATACCATGTTAAAGATGTTGTTTATGCAATCTCTAATGTTTTGTTAGTTTGATGCTCAAGCAGTTACCACATGAGTGTCACTGGGTCGTTTGGGTTGATCCTCCTCCTCCATTGCGTGCCGCCCTTGCTTTTGAAGACTTGCACGCAGAGCTAGAACAAAGCTGGATCAGAAGCCACAAAATGCAGAAGCAAAACATGGAGCTGTCAAAGAAAAATCCTGCTTTGAAGAAGACAGTGAGAGAGAGAGATGAGATGTTGCGTCTTCTGGCATTGTTGTTTGTAGGAATGTGTGTTGCTGTGTTTTTTGTGTTCTAGTTTCTAGCAGTTGTTGAAGAAAGTGTGTGTGAGAGAGATGTGTTGAATGTTGTTTATGATGCACTATTGTATGCTAATTTTGAAGATCATGATTCACTGCTGATGCTTGTGACATTGTACCAAATACATATTTATTCCATATATAGTGCCAAATTCAGCAAATAGAGCAACACACACTAGCAAATAGAGCAACCAATTGTACCAAATAGAGCACATATTTTACCAAACTGACATTGTACCAAATTCAACAAACTCACATTGTACCAAATTCAAGAAACTGACATTGTACCAAATAGAACAAACTGACATTGTACCAAATAGCAGTTGTTGAACAAACGGACTAGAACTTAAGTGCATAACAACAAGATAACATCACTGGCAAATATAACATAGCACTAGAACTTAAGTTTCTTGCTCCTAGTGTTCTTGGCCTGGTTTGGAGCTAGCATTGCCTTGCTTCTAGTGTTCTTGGCTGGGTTTGGAGGTTCAACTGCTGCTACTGCTCTTTGAACACTGCTTTCTTGCTCCTGTTCCACAACTGTTTTCTGCTTGACACACCTTGGAGAAGCTCCTCTTGCTGCTGCCCTTTTATAATTTTTCCTAGGGCTAAAACAAGTGGAAGCACATCACAATTTGAAAGATTTTATAAAGCAGTAAGATCAAAACATGTAAGAATTTGTAAGCCAAGATCTTATACCTGACTGCACAACTAGCTCCTGTAGATGCATCATGTGATGGCTCCTTTGGTGGTGCCATCTGCTGCTGAAGAACATCAGGTGTTGTCTCATCCTCCTCCTCCTCCTGTTGTATTTCTGCTTCTGCTGGTTCATTGGCTGTACGATGATCATCTGCATTGTCTGCTCCCCAATGTTCATCTTCTCCAAAGGCTGGATCAACAGATTGTTTGCAGCCCTTGGCTTTGTGTCCACATCTCCCACACCTTTTGCACTTGTGCTTCCTAGGACCAAGGCCTTTTCCTTCAGTGCTACTTCTAATCCTTTGCTTTCTTGGTCTGCCTGGAGCTCTATGTTGAAGAGGAGCACACAATTTGAATCCAGGATCTATAATGTCCCACTGTTGCTTGCCTTCTAGAGCTGGGAGGTTCTCAGCATAAGTAGCTCTGAACATGTCAACTGAATAATATTTGTGCACATACTGATCTATCCCACTTGCTTCACCTCTTTAGAGCAGTGATAAAGAAAAGTGCATGGATGCATGGTTTATCTGTGATCTGGCACTGTCTGCAACTGCAAGACCAGCGCTCTAAGTCAACAGGGTACATCCATTCTCTCTTCTCACTATCAGTAGCAGTCACCTCTGCCTCTGTTGGGCTTCTCCTCACTATACTCCTTTGCAAACCTTTGGTTTTCTCGATTAACACCTTCATAACTGCTGGTATGATGTAGTACCCAATGAAATGGTCAGAGGCAAATCTGTTTCTTAACTCCAACTTCTCCATGATATACTGCCTAATCTTGTCTAGCAGATCAACTATGTGCAGGCTCTTGTATTTTTTGATTCTGGAGTCGAATGACTCAGCTAGGTTGTTATTGACATAGTCAACTTTGCTAATCTCATTGAAATCAGCTCTTGCCCATGTTTTTGTGTGGTGTTCCTCTAGATATTCCTTTACTGTGGGCTTGCTTTTCAACTGGTTCAAGTGATAGTTGTGTTTCTTGATGCTACAAGTTAGTGAGCATGGCCACAAATTATCATCACAAAACTTCCCCTTGAATTTCTTGCTGAAATTTTGGGCCAAGTGCCTCATGCACTCTCTGTGCTCCACTCCAGGGTAAACATCCTCAACAACAGTTTCCAATCCCTTGCAAGCATCAGTATGTATCACTAAACCTTCTGGATGACCTATTACTTTCTTTAGGTTGCTAAAAAACCAAGTCCAACTCTCAATTGACTCCCCTTCCAAAACACCATATGCAACAGGAAATAACCAGTTGTGTCCATCTAGTGCACATGCTGCCACAAGTTGCCCTCTGAACCTACCAGTCAGTGCAGTAGCATCTACAGCTAGGTATGGCCTACACCCCTCCAGAAAACCTTTTTGACATGCTTTGAAGCACACAAACACCCTTCTAAAGCACTCCTTGTAGAACTTCTTGTTATTCATCTTGTACTCAACTGTGTGCTTCTCAATTTCCGCAATACTGCCTGGTGATGCCCTCTCTACTTCAGCTTTGAAACTATATAACAACTGAAAGCTATCACTATACTTTCCATACAGTTTGTCAAGTGCAATCTCTTTGCCATGGTAGCATCTGTCATACGGCACCTCCACACCATATTTCTCTAACAACTTGCTCTGAATTTCCTTTGTACCAATTCCTAGATTTGCTTTGATCCAAGCCATAGAAGCATCCGCTATCCATCTTCTTTTTGCAGCTCTCAATCTCTGAGATCTATTCACACTAGGACATGTATGCTGATATGGGTTGACTTTAATCTGAAACAAACCAAAAAAACAATGAGATTAGTACAGAAAATGCAATACCTGAAAATAAACTAAAATGCAATACCTGAAAATGAAATACCTGAAATAGTGTGCTCTTCCTCATTAAAGAGGCATGCAGTCTCCACTTGCATTTCTCATAAGCACATTTGACAGTAAACCTTGTTGGATCACTTTTCAGAGTAAGGAACTCAGTTTCAGACTTGATTGAGAAGATTGGAACTGCATTTCTGCAGTCAACTGCACTAGGGAAAACCACACCTTCACCAATACATGGATTTTCCTTGTCATACATCTTTACAGGTCTGTCCTCTTCTGCATCTTCAAAAACTCCCATCTCAACATCCTCTTGCTTCTCATCCTCATCTGCATCTGAAAATTCTGCAGGAACGTACTCTTTATCTGCTACATCTCCTTCATCATTATTGTGCTGGACATATCCAGGATATAGAACCTCATCCTCCACACCAGGTGCATCAGGCAATGCCTCCTCCACAACAGGATCAAGTGGCTTCTTTTGGTTTTCTTGGCTTTCATTGACAGTTGCAGTTGCATAAGCACTTGGTGTTCTAGGACCACTTGGGGTTCTACTACTAGCCCTAGTTCTGGATGTATATGGCCTGGAACTAGATGTGTTCACACATCTCTGACCTCTAGTTTTTTGTATAACTGTGATTTCCAAATTGCATGACATAGTTGTTGCATTACTTGCAAAGATCAGACCTAACTATGCATCACACTGCACAGGGACCCAACAAAGTTTGGAACTATCCCAATATCTGATCTCCACAGCATCAAACAATCCCCATGGATACTTGGCACAAATGGCAGCCCTAAAATTAGTATATGATCTAGTGTTGTCCACAACTAAAGGAAAAGTGAATCCACAATCTTTTCCTTTTGTACCAACAGAAAATAGAACAGTGGTCTCCATTTGAACTGAAAGAAAGAATGCTGCAGCTGGATCCATCCTATGGGGGAACAATATCCAGTGACAAAACGCACAAACTTTAGACTAAACCCTAAATACAAGCAAATCTCATCTGAAAAAACTGAGAAAATCAGGTTTGCTACTAACCCTGGGGGGATTTGCCGTGCAGATCCGCCCCCGCTTGTCGCCGTTGGTGCAGATCCGCCACCGCTTCTCGCCGTTGGTGCAGATCCGCCACATGAGCTTCCCTTGTCGTTGTTGGTGCCGCCACACCCGCCTTCTCCGTGCTGCAGTGGAGGTGTGTTGTTCCTACCACCACAGCGGCCACCGCCGACGCTTTCTCCACTCTTCCCCATCACCTTGCAATGGATCTGGCCGCCCGCGCAATGGATCTGGCCGCCCATCGCTCGGCGCCACAATTTAGGGTTCGTCAAAGGGGAAAAGAGAGAGCAAGAGTGGGGAATGAGAGAGTGCGAGTGAGCACGGGGGCAAGCGGTGTCCAAAGTAACGCGTCGTTTGCGGTCAAACGGTGCTGACTGGACGCAGACGTGTCGGAAGGGCAAAAACGCAAGGGGAGCGGTCAAAGCTGGGCAAGACCGTGTGTTTTCCAAAATCAGGGGCAAATCAGTTGAGGGTGACCCAACTAAGGGCATAGAAACAATTATCCCTATAGTTTATAATAGAAAATGATGAAAGCTTTTTATACCATATTACCAAACATGTGGTGAAAAATAAATACATCTGGCGCGAGCTTCCACTGCTTATTCTCACCTCTTACGAATGTACTCGTACACACAACACTTGAGAATTACAATGTCATACGTGGCAACACTTATTATTACATTAGTATCGACCCCAATAATACCTATCGGGCCACTAGTAATGCATAAAAGTGTTATATTACTAAAGAGGTAATCTTCATGGGCAATTGGAGTTCTTCCCTGGCCCCCCATAGTAGATGTAAGTACCCATGTCGCTAGACATACCATTTTTTGCATTATAGCAGTTCTGTTGCTTAGCTATAGTCTTCACATCACTTGGTGGTTTGAGATTATTGGACGAATCTACCACTTGTATGTTCTTGATATAACTAGCCTTGCCAAACCCTTCCTCAGGGAAGTGTCCACTACCCATCTGTGTGGAAGTTTGGCCGGCATCGGGTGAGAATACCTCACCGCCCCATTGTACAGTAGATGCACTATCAGCCAAGTATGAGAATATCAATGATGGCCAATAACCCACATTATTCGTTCCCACTTGCAACCACCAATTGCCACTCTTTGGGTCCTGCAAGCCAAAATTAATTTAGCAGAGAACAAGGTAGAAAAGACATTGAGCAGGAAATATAGTTTATATCCCTTAAGTTCCAAAATCTTGGCCAAAAAAACACTAAGTCTGGGGTGTCACAACACAAAAGTGAGTTCATGCGTTCTCTATGTTCACTATGAAATGTTTTATTGCCCTTTTATGGCAATATAATAGAATATCATAATTGATGTCTCCTCTACAAATAAGTTTTACAGAAACTCTGCTTAGGCGCAACAAATAAGTGAAACCTTTCAGTTGGTAAGTTTGACAAAGCAGGCCCGATTGTTATTGTGCATGTCAACACATAAGCTGTTTTTGTGGACCTCGGTTTGTAGGTGTAGCATTTCCCAGAATGGAAATATAAACTTATCAATTTTCTAGCAAATTTCAGATATTATATTGGGGAGTGGTTCCTATTGACCATGCAAAGAAAGGAAACTATATTACTATTGGTGGCAATGCCATTATGCATTAGTTCCTAGAAATTCTAAAATGGAAAGTTCCTTTGAAGTTTGTTCAAAGAAAAGTTTTTAGGTACTCTCAAACATTGGCTTATCCATCTTGATCCCAAGGGCTAAGATTAAAGGAGAATACAGAACCTTTTTCGCTTATCTATCATGTGTATTTAGTTTTTTTCTTTGGAAATTCAAGGAAGTTAGTGAGTTTGTTTCCTGGCCGATTAACTATATAAAAACATTTATACAAGGATTTTTCTCCTAAGTAACGCCATGCACACAGAATAATCAAATAGTTTGTGGTACCTTAAAAGCTTGTAGAGATATGTAGTGTACACATGATGTAGGCATTTGACATGCATTAGTGACACGACTTATCCATAGTGGCATAAGAATAAGTGATAATTGAACATTGTGTCATAAACTAAAGAATACCATGTCACACTATGTATGAGATGGCATGTTAGTAGTTGATAAATACTCCCCGTAATCTGGTCACTACTACCCCCTCTGCCCTAGAATTGTAATGTGTATTAAAAATCGAGAGAGATGCGCCATTGCAGGTAGAAATATTTATGAATAGTAGCTTCAAGGACCAATTCTATAAGCCTAAACAAACCCTTTGAACTCTTCTATGGTATGTGAGTTCTTGTAAAGATGTGTTACATGTTGGATAGAGAAAGTACAAAATACCCCGTTTATATTGTCTCATCGCTCCCATTCTTAATTCAAATATTATCAATACTCATGAGTTTCCATATTGGTTGAGTATTCAGCAAGGATATGAATAAATAACAAAAAGAACTAAAAAGGTATGGATGGCACCACGCCGAACTGCCACATGATTGTGCATCAGGTCACATGATTAACATGCATGTGTGTGGAGTTTTTGAAACATGTTGATACTCAAATTCAAAACTTGGGAAGTATCTATCCATTCTAGGCATATCACTTTTTGTCTCATATTTTGAATTTGCAGTGATAATCACAAGTTATCAATGCTAGATGGTAACAAGAGATAGGCCAGATGAACACAGATAAATGTATTTCTGCTATTTTGTAACAAGAGACGACACAAATAATTACCAAAGCACCAGCGCTAGTGGATACACCTTGGAGAGTTTATTGCTACCAACTATTGTGATGCATCAACACAAATGCTTTAGTATCGATTCCGATTTATCGGTACATGGGAGCTGACAGGGATGAGTTTTTTTAGTACCGATGTGAAATTAGATATTGCTTATATAAATGTGGAAAGTAATGGAGTCTATATGTAAAGACATGCACATTAATAATATTTACATATAACCTTGAGACATTGTAACGAAAGTCGACTCAGTCAGTCAAACAAGACAATGACACACTCAACCTCCTAAATTACTTTCTCATATACAACAACCACACATGCTCTAGATGATGCATGTAAGCATGCATCTAGGGTGAAAGGACTCCTATGCTATGAGAGGACGATCTTGTGGTGCAGACGTTACATAAAAGTCCACACGACGTGTAACTATTATTAGCCAGTCAATCTATTACTAAAATGGCTTAAACTTGACATGACTTAAAAACAATAATTGAGGTCTATTTTTTTCAACTCTAACTAGGTAAGGAGGAGTAACTTATTAGAAACCTGTTCAATGGCTGACATGGATTCTTTTTGCCCCTTCAAGAATTTTATTTATGATGTTTAATGTTGAAGTATAAGTGAATTGATCACTCCTCCACATCAGTTTAAGCGTTTGAGTCGAACTGGTCAGTGCATGCAACTGAAAGCCAGAAGTGTTGAGTTATAATCCTAATGGGTCCAATAAAACGATATGAAATCCTAGAGGGTGGAATAAAATAAAATTGATTATAGCCGACTCCTATTTCCATGTTTGAGGCCTAAGGGATCCTACACATGAGGGGGCATGGGAGTTAGAGTATAAGTGAGCTACTCACCTTTCTCCATCACTTTTAAGCTTTTGAGTTGAAGTGGTCTGCGCACCCTACTAAATACTACGGATGTGAAATATTATTGTGTCATATTACCTTCCAAACTAAAATATCCAAGTCATATTGTGTGCCTCCATAGGTGGAGACCGGGGATATGGTACCACCAAGGGCAATCTGATTATCCGTTTGGACGAACCCTGAGCACTTTAGGTTGTAACATCCTGTTTGATATGCATCATGCTACAATATTACACAACAAAAGAAAATTAGTATATTGATGTTATTCCCAGCATTAATAAAAGATGGACTTAATATGACTACTGATGAAGATAAAATAAAATTAGGTGTTTATCTTACAGTCGAGAAGATGAAGAGTCTAGCATTGTTATCATTATACATTTGTGGGTAAACCTGCAATTTTTGTAGAGAGAATAGCGCCATTAGCCTCAATGAAAGAGATTGCACAACTTAATGCACCATGACAACATGTTTAGGTCTTATATAATAACATGATGTTAGCTATCTATAAGAATGGAGATGCAGGACTTGCTTGTTAGAGAGAGAGAGAGAGAGAGAGAGAGAGAGAGAGAGAGAGAGAGAGAGATTGTTCTTTCATGCGAGCAGAAAAAAGCTAGACGATCTCTAAGTCTTTTCAGTCTGCTTGTTTCTCCCTTGCTTCCATTGAGACTATCGACATACAATGTGTCACCTTGCCAACAAATGAACCAACATAAGAAATACTCATGCATCCCTCAATTGAATGTTTTTTCACCAGCTTGATTACGCTCACCCAACAATAATGTTTTGTCCCTTTGGCATTTGTGCTTGAACATCAATTTGGATGTTTCTTTCTTGTTCATTTGATTCCCTTTTGATGTACACAAAATCCATATATATCTTTGAAATCCTTTTATAAATGGATATAGTTTTTGTATAGCACGGAATATTATCAAGAATAATTTCACATGCCTACCTCCCTAATCCACGAACCCATTCTCCTACAGGAACAAGGAAGACTTGTGTATTTTATTAGAGACATAATAACTTGATGTTCGTGGATGATTTTGAGGTCCTCAACTAATCAAAATTTCTGACCCTTCCTCCTTTTTCATATACATATGTGGATACTATGCAATTTTGTCCTGATATGATAGACGTCCTTCACAAGTTACTTTATATGTTTAAGCATCTTTATTCATAGTTCTTCCCATTTGCATTGCAATCCTGTGTGTTTGACTTGTGTTTAGTTCAAACCTTAGATTGAGTTGTGAGAGCTCATGTTGTAGCCACCCAGCCGTCCATCATGACTTCATCAATCCTAGTATGATCTTACATAGTTTAGTTGTATGAATTTTATTCGTCCACGCATTATGTCAAAATGATTTTTTTTGGTAAGATAGATTCTACATGATAAACTCCACTCTTAGTTAGTACAGTGCTGAAAACAACGCTTTAGCCTACACAAAAGTGCAGAGATGTTGGACTTCCTCTATCAAAGACAATGAGTGCAGTTGAATTTTCGAACTATTTGAAGTTGGAGTGCGTAAATTGTAAATATGTTATAAAATTTACTCTGGATATAATAAATTTATTTTAAGTAGCAACTTTCTTGCCATAAAGTATCAGTATAATTTAACATGGATTGTTATCGCCATTGCCATGTGACTCATTATGGAAACATCTTTTGTGATTGCCACAACATAGAAATAGACATCCTAATAACTTCATGCAACCTATATGCATGCAAGGTTTGATGGTGGCGCAAGGGGGCACACACATGACCTGGGTTGCCTGGGTCGCATCCTAGTTCATGAAATAGGATTTTCTTTGATAATTGTAGCAGTTTTGACATTATTTGACATGGTGGCATGAGTTCGGTCTGGGATTTCCTAGGGCCCGTCCCGAACCTGCCTGTTCCACTAACAACACATGTCAAACAAGTATACTTTGAGTTTGGAAGAATGTTTACATATAGTTAGATTTTCTTTCTTTATAATGGAGTGGTTGCTTTAGTTCCATTTTCAGGTTTGTTGCCTCAAGCTTAACAATCCATGAATTGTGACAATTAGTTGAAAATCTACTTAATTTAGTTGTGTGTTAATCTCCTTTTTTAGAATTAAATGCTACTACAAGTCTTCTAGATTGAAAAACAATCCACTATGAAAGTTGCCTTTAATTATATCCACAAATAACACATGTACATGTATAAAGACAAGATTGTCTATACTTTATAGCTTGCTAAATGCATTTAGCTCTTAAAAGTAATGCTTCTAGCACAACTTAGGAAAGAAAGAAAAAGTTTTTACCAATGGAGAACATAGACTAGCTCATACTTATGTTCTGCTTCTTTCATAAAGACATATATCATGAATATACTAGAAGTCGAAAAGTAGAGTTTAGTAAATATTTTATGGAGGTGGGGTTCCCTCTGTGGACTGACCTGCCATCCTACTTCAATGGTATTGAGGTCGTTTCCCTGATAGGAACCCCCACTAATCCAGAATTGGGCCAAGCTGAAGTCATTGGCTCTCGCAATCATTGGTTGCCACAGATTAAAAGTGGCTTTGGTTCCATGGCACTTATCAACACTTGTAGATGCGATAGCATGCTGCTCAATGGGAGAGAAAACAAAGTTAAATGGTCACTTTTAGGAATAATGATTGTAACAATCAAAGAGGAATATTATGACTCATATGAACATGATTCTTTAATGGCCTTTGTACCTGGTGGCCCCTCGTGATATTGGTTGTGTCAGGGTCATTGATTGAACTAAGGTTTGGGATGCTCCTGGGCCTCTTTTTGCCATACCTCTTGATGGAACTAGCCCTTAGAACATCCTGCTCCTTTGTCCTCTGGATTGGTATGGTGTTCTCGGGGCACTTACCATTTTGATGCCATGTCTGGGTTATTGGATGGGGTGCGATGGTGGGGTCATGATACATACCTCCTGGGTTGTAAGAAGGCCGCATCTGAAAGTTGACGGTTGAGTGATATCATGATATGTGTGTGTAATAGTGTGGGGCACTACAACTTGTTTGCAACCAACAATGATATGAAAAGTGAAATGGTGTTGCAATGTATTACCTGGATAGTATGGTTTTTGAGGAGAGGATGGTCGAATGCAGGCTGTTTGGAAATGTGCACACAGTCTATGACATCTCCATCCGGGCTCTATTAATTTGGGGAAATCATTGGTTGCAACAAGAAAAGGGAGAATATTACAAGCAAATTGACAAATGTTAGATCTTCTGTACATATGTTACTTCTAGACGACGCGTCACACATAATTAATTTAATGCTGTCTATTTTCGGTGATTGCATACAACTGTAGCTTTTAAATTTATTTAAGCGAATATCCGCTGGTTAATTGGCACTGATCTTTAATTTTAAAACAATTTGTTAACTCTTGGTCATTCTGGATCGAAGCTTTTGATGTTTTACATTAGAAGGATTATTGCCGTGGTGTTTTGACTCTCGGGTGCATCTGCACCTGAGGTGAACAGTAAATTCGTTTGAAATATTTAAAATATAAAAAGAATCTGAATTTTTTTGTGATGCTAGATGCTCATATGTGTAAGTCCATGCCAAATTTCGTGGAGTTTCGACATTTTAGTAGCTGTCAGCAAAAAAAAAGTTGGGGGCTGTACATACTGTTTTGACCGATTTTGTGTTTTTTGTCAGGAGCTCCTCAGATGTCCGGACAAGCTGAAATTTGACATGTAATAATGCGTAGTACTGCTTATGCTTATGCATGGCTTGTGAGAGGACGACAAACAATTAATAGCACATACGACTAAACATGTTTATATATAGATAGACTTCTTCTCTCTGGTTTTGTCGCTCAGCACAAGCATGTTGATTTGCAACGCATCACTTCTCCTCTATTGGGCAGGCTGAACGTACATATGCTTATGCATGTACCTGAAAGCTTGCGACAGGAGGCTTGTTGAGCCGCCTGAGGAGGCTTTGCGCCTCCCGTCGCCGCTGCTCCAAACTCTCCGCGGTCTTCGCCGGCGCGGCCAACACCGCGGCTGGGCCCTCCAAGAAGAGAAATGACAGAGCCACCGCGAGCGCGACCAAACACGCTCGAGTCGCTGCCATTGAGCGTTGTAGGTACGTTACTGTGTTGAATATCACAGCTAGATGAGCTATTGGGTAGTAGCTAGCTTGGGCGTTTTATAAGGCTGAAACTTGTGCATTCTTGACTAGTCAGCAAGCAAGCAGACATGTATAGGAGTACAAGTGCTATCGGACAGCATGTTCCCATCCAAGTGAAATGAATTTTTTACGGAAGCAGGTGGCGTGTACGTACGTACTGGACTAGTATTGGACTGCATGTGGACGTCCAATTGAAGTTCTTACAGAAGCAGCTGGTCTATACATAGTACTCCCTTCGTTTCTAAATGTAAGTCTTTGTAGAGATTTCACTATAAACCGCATACGGATGTATATAGATGCATTTAAGTTTAGATTCATTCATTTTGCTCCGTATGTAATTCACATAGTGCAATCTCTACAAAGACTTATAAAAATGGAGGGAGTACTATTGACTGCATGTCCGCGTCCAATTGGAATTCTTATTACAGAGGCAGCTGGCGTATACGTAGACGTTTATGTCCTCCGGTTCCATGAGAAGTGCAGTGCATGTTCCCGCCTTGCATAAGTCTAGTTGAAAAATCTGGTTCAATTCCCGGACGGGCAGTGCATGTTAAGTTTGACCGTTCGGACTGGCCTGTAGAAACCGTGTTGCTCGGGCCAAGGTTCCACCGATAGCTCCGTTTAACTGTGTTGCTATGCTTGGCCCGCCGTGTGGCCGCCGGCAACGCGGTTGACGATGCACTAGTGGCCACCGTGTGACACCCGTTCGTTTTTTCTTCGAGAAGGAGAGTTTTTTTCCATGATAATACATGTCTCATTCATATCATAAAGAACAAAATACAAGTCACGTAAAGACCGACATGACGAAACTGAATAGATAGCAGAACATCTCTGAGCTTGACACCAACGTCCGTCACCTGCCTTCGGCACCACCTCAGTAGCCACCGAAGAAAAGAATGGCGAATCACCTCCACACCCGAGCTCGACGCGGCTCCATCGCTGATATGCAGCTTTGCGGACCTCCAAGGTAGCTCACCAAAAGTGAAGCCCTTACCGTTGAACGAATCAGACCGGGGCAACACCCCAAACACGCCATCGAACTCCAGATCTAGCACCCCACCACGACTAAAACGCCGAAGGAGGAAACCATATCTGCCATCCACGAACCACGAGCCCAGCACATGCTCCGTCTTCCAGATGTCGTCGATGCAGACCACAATCTGCATCCACTCCTCGACTACCTCCCAAGCTTCGCGCCGACGCTGGAGCAAACGCCATCGCAACGGCGGAGCCCGAGGACACATGTCCACCACGAGGATGCCGCCGCCGCCACGCCATCCTTGCTTGAACAGACTGGTTTCCAAATCCATCCCCAACCATAGGACTGATGGCCTCGTCAGGGAAGGATCCGAAGAATCTTTATTCAGGGTTGTCATCGTCGCCGCCGGAGCAAAGATGATGAACAACCTATAAACCTAGACTACGAAAGAGTAAAAGCG